TCCTGAGTGTGGAGAGTTTCCAAAAGACCTAATTAGCAACTCACTGCAAACATTTCTTTGCATTAGCTAATGATCCGGCTACACTTGTAAGCAAACAGTACCAACATATCTAATCAATGCAGAAAAACCAACAGAATGCTTATTAAACATCTGGATGTAATTTTCTAGTTAGACTTAGAACAAAATGAAAACATATGCAGGTTCCTTTGATCTGTGCTTCAACAAAGAAATTGTTGATAAAAAAGCATACTGGCCACTCAATGTGTCATTTTCATAAAGCCTGGTCATTTCTCTTCAGATGTTCCCAATTTAATGTTGTTGGTTTCCTGCAATCTCTAATTTTACCATATTGTGCGAAACCACAAGAGATTCTTTGGATCTGATTTTATTTGAGGTTTTACTGCTGCATGATTTGCTACTGATTTTTTTTTCCTACTTACTCTGGAAGAATTTTTTTAACAGCAGGAGATTGAGGGAAGGTAATATAGAGATGATGTCCTGCTGGAACTATTCAAAAATTCCTGTGCATAAGGAAAATTATTAATTTGAAAAAAAAAGTTGAAATCATAAAAAATGTAAAGAACAGATATTAACTGTAAGATAATGAATTATGAGAAATTGAATTATTTTAACTTGCTCACATCATTTGATTTTATAAATAAGGTAAAATCTTAAAAACAAGTACTCCTTTTGCATTTCATCATAACAATTATAATCCCAACAATATTGCACTACTGTATTACATGTAGTGTATGACTCAGGCACTGTTTCATTTATTTTTGGCTCCTAGCTGTACTGTTTGTGCATTGCAAACAAATATTTAAACACCTGAACTTTCTTTTTCTGACTGAAAATACAATGAAGTTTTGAATCCAGAATTTTAAAAGCATAAAATCTATTGAATTTTATAATTGTCCTTTTTACATATTTTTTTCTCACTGCATTATGGGTTGCAGAAGAGTGAAATAAATTACAAATTTTAGAAAGAGTTTCCTTCTGCATTAGCAAAGTCCTGATAATTGACATCATCAGCATTTTATTATAGAGTTTTTGCCACTTTGTGGAAATTTTAAAATACCTGAACACATATATTCATATTGCTTGTAACCAATAATATTAACTGGAAATGAAAAAAACAACCAACCAAACAAAAAAACAACAACCCAGAAACATCTAAGGTAAACTGAATATCATTTCCCTAACAGGTATCAGAGGGGTATACGTGTTAATCTGGATCTGTAAAAAGCAACAGAGAGTCCTGTGGCACCTTTAAGACTAACAGATGTATTGGACCATAAGCTTTCGTGGACATGCATCCGACGAAGTGGGCATTCACTCACGAAAGCTTATGCTCCAATACATCCGTTAGTCTTAAAGGTGCCAGAGGACTCTCTGTTGCTTTTTACATTCCCCTAACAGAGTAAGATGCTACATCTGAAACCTAATATTATACTAAAACTACATTTTGGGCCTGATCTTGATTGGTTTGTGCACCCAAAACTCTCACTGATTTCAATATGAGTTTTGGTACATAATCAAAACAGGATTAGGCCCTTATGCTGTTTGAAGTAAGAACATTACATTAATATGCTCATAGTGGGAAAAAAATTAACAGACTTCAAATAGAAGAGTAGAAATTATGATTAATTAGATTTCTGGTATTTTAATATTGAAGGCAGCCCCTGAAAATTGTATGTTTATTTAAAACATAAGACTAAAGCAGCTTGATTGTTTAAACACTATTATTTTAATGCAGTTAGAGAATTTAGTAGTATAATTATTACAGCATAACAATCTGGGAGAAAATATTACCTTGAATGGGATACTTACCCACTTATCCAAATTTTGCTCTTGTTGCACTGGTTTAAGTATTAAGAAACATCAATTGAATTAAATTCAGGTTATATTTACATAGGGGTACCCAAGAGCAGATTTTGGTCCCCTACCATCAACCATATATGTGAAAGAATGTATGTATTTATTTATTTACTTATTTATTTTATACATATACAGTAGCAGCTTTCATTTAAAAATATATCAAACCCCAAACAGTTCTACTATTGGTTTTTACTGCTCTTCCATACTGATTTTGATGGAAGAGGCTCAAAATGCCTGTAAGTCTCTGCTCCTAGCATCTCAGTAGGTCAGAAAGCACTTGTTAAAAGGTATGAGGAAAACAGAGAGCTGTATTTGTTAAAACATGCCCTGAAAAATGTAAATATGGTAAATAAAGATCACAAGACATTTCAACTTTCATGTAGGCGAGCAATTAAAAAAATCCACTTCTGTTCTTGTTCCAAAATACACTGTTGTTTTAATGCTTTATCTGTTTTTATCTCATTAACAACTTGTGCCAGCAGGTTAAGCATAGTATTAACCAAAGCTGGATAAGAAAGTGTTATGTTGTCTCAGGTTCCATAACTACCAGGTGCACCTACAACATATATAATAATGGTTTGCATTTTATAGCACTTTTCATCTGGGGAATCTAGAGTGCTTTATAAGCATTAATTAATTAAGCTTCTTAATGCCTGTGTGAGGTAGCTAAATATGCTAATACCTATTTTTATATGGATAAACCAGTACACAGAGAGGTGAACTGACTTGCCCAAGATAATACAGCAAATCATTGGAAAAGTTGGGCATAGAACTCTCAGAAATTCTGACTCCCAGTCCTGTGCATGGACCACTAGACAAATTTACAGTCTGGTGCCACAATCACTGCCTTCTACTGAAAAGCAAACCTTTGTTGACTGCCGCTAGGAAGTGGTGAAAGAAGAAAATGTACCTTCTTATGTATGAGATTGCACTCAATTTAAAAACCCTAAGGAGTGCAAAATTCATCTAGTGTTTTGGAAAATATGCACATGTAATGAGAGTTTGCTTTGTTTTTTGTCCTCCCCACCTCCGCCTTTTGTCATTTTTTATTGTAGGTAAAACTGGTAATAATGCAGTTAAAATAACTGAGAATTGAATAAAGTCATAAATTGCTCTTGTTTAGAGATGTAACAATTTCACTCCTATTGAATTTTAGCCATAGTCAGTTCTAATTTAAATTACATACTGAAATTTAATACAATTATAAATAAATCACATACATGTTTAAAGGGAAGTTTAATTGTAGGGTAAGAAAATATTTACTATAAAATTGCTCCCTTTATGTTCCAATGACTCCCTTTGATATTTTAGGACTTCTCCTTTAGGTAAAATATATTACCTGAATAAGTACGGGAACATTTATTAAAACATTATTTTAAAGCATTAAATTTAAAAGATTTATTAAAGCATTATTTTAAAGCTACTAGTACCTAATGCTTGGTTATTAAATTCTGTTATGAATCAGATGGTTGTTACTAGAGGATGTGTTCTGAAGATGTTTACATCCCATTGTGGGCTGTGTCAGTATTTAGCGGGGCAGTAGTCACACATGGAGCATGTGGAATTTATTTGACCCTAGTCTACTTCAAATAGACCTATAAACTGTTTATAATATTGGAAGTTTCTAATTGCTTAACTCCAGTGGAACTCTCTTAGAAAAAGTCAGTTTTACTCAATGGACAACTTCAGTTCTGTCTGAGGGTCACTGTAACTAAAATTGCAGTTTGTGCATTGCAATGCATTAGATCAAGTTGTGACTTTCATCCTACTTCCCCTCTATTGGAGTACACTATAAGCAGGTGCCACAGTTTGTGCACCTATGTTTACGTAACCTATAAATTAAATATGTATGTGTGCCATATTTGTCTGTCGGAATTAGAAAGTAAACTGGGATGAAAAAATCATAGGCCAAAATGTGCTTTCAGTTTACAGCAATGAACAGCGCTGAGTTCTTTTGGATAAAAACTGAGAAAAACAGAGCGGAATGGGACATGATTTTTATTTGATGTGATTTGGATGGGCTCTATAGCTGTATTATAACAACATAAAGAGTATGTGTGTAATTTATATTCTTTAAATAAAATTTGAGTCTGTACATACATACTCCATTAAAATAGTGGGCCACTAGTAGATGTTATGGGTAAATCGTCTTTCCCTACAAACCCCATTTTGTCATGTTCATAATTTTCTGAAAAATTCTCTTTTGGGCTACAGTTTTCCATGCTGGGTCTGGTCCCAGAGGTGAATTATTCTAAAAAATTTAATACAGATAGATATGTGCACACCAAGCTCAATGCCTGGAGCATAACACTCCACCCCCCAGCCACTGTGTTTAACCAGGGCACTGTATGTCTGGCTCTAACTGCAGCTTGTCCTGCTCTATGGTAGGATGCAGCATTTATCTCGCCGTGTTACTTTCACAGATTGAGACTAGAGAAAGGGGGGAGGGCAAAATGGAGGAATAAACCAGATCCCAGCAATACACGCCTCCCTTCATTCCCTTTTCCTCCTCCTCCTTTTTCTCTGCCCCCCCGCCCACGTTACTTTGATTGACAGTTCAGCCTCTCCCTTCTCCTTCCCACCGACCTTCCCGTTCTCCCTGCCTCGCTGAGCGTTCCACGGCCTCCTATTGGTCCGCTCGGAAGGGTCCTGCCGCTCCGCCAGGAGAGCTGGAGGGACCAGAGGCTTGTCCCATTGGGCAGTCGAGAGGAGTACATCAGCACCCCACGTTGGCCCATGAGCAGGCGATTGGCCACAGATCCCCTCCTCCCCTCGAGTGGGCGGGGCCGGGTGGCTGGTTAGCTAGAGGAGTGTGAAACCGCGTGTTAATGTAACCAGCGCGGGCGGATACATTGTGTCCCGTTTATTGAGAGCCTGCTACTGCCGCGGCGCTGCGCTCCCCGGCCCATACCCCGCGAAGTTTGCATACTGCGCGCTATTATCCATGGAGGGGCAGCTGTAGTTGGGAGGCTGTTTTTTCCCCCCGGCCGCTGTTGTCTGGATGTGTCACCCTGGGGCGCTGGAGAGAACTTTGTCCCGGCCGTGAGCGGGGCGAGGCGAGGCGCCGGCCCGGGAGAGCCCAGGATGCTGCTGCGCGCGGCGCTTGCGGGGCGCCGATAAGAGTCGCTGCTCCCGGGTGCGCGCCCGGCCGGAGGAGGTTATAGTGGCGCTGGTGCGCGGAGGAGCTTCCCTTTGATTCGTCCCGCCGGGGGGTGGGTGGCCTGGGACCAGGGGGTGGGTGTTGGTGCCTCTCTTTGCATCGGCCCGAGGAGTCTCCGCGGTTCGTGGTTCCCCTTCCCCGCGGTGCATGTGCCGCTGGAGTCGGCCCCCGCTACTTTGCGAGCGGCCCCTTCGCCAACGCCCGGGAGCAGCGCGGCGCTCGCTGGGGACTTTCTCTTGCGCCCCCATCTGCTGAGTGTCCCGCCGGTGCCAGCCCGCCCGCGCCCCGGCCTGGATTTCCCCTGCGGGCAGGAGCTGTGGGGAGAGGAGTCGCCTGCGCTCGGAGTTTCCGGTCTTACAATTGCACAAGTTACGAGCCTGCGAAAGGGGATTATTTACTCTGCAGACAGAAGCCGCGGCCAGAGGAGGAGGAGAAGGTCGGGCAGTGAGGGGAGCAGCCACCCCCCGCCTTGCACTGCCCCCGCCCCGCGGAGCCGCGTGGCCTGGGGACCGGCTGGGGCCGACGCGCCCAAGGAGCCGACACCTGCCGGTGACTTTTCAGAAAGCGGAGGGGGCGCGTTGCTGGCCGAGCCCCCAGCCCAACAGCAACAAAGGAGAAGGCGGCGGGAGGAGGATGCCGCGGCTGGGCCGCTGAGCGGCGGCGTCTGCCCGCGAGGGCTGCTCGGGGCTCGGGGTCTAAAGTTGGGGACTGAGTCGAGAATTGAGCTGCAAAGGAGCAAAGCGGCGGCCAGAGCCATGTTCCCCCAAAGCCGGCATCCCGTAAGTAACCCCCGGGCCGGGCTACCCTCTCGGCACCCTCTCCTTGTAGGGCAGAGGGGATCCCCGCTGCCCTTTGCCCTGGGTGGGTGAGTGGCCAGCCTCTCTCGCTGCCTGGAGGGCTTCACTCTTCAGCCCTCGCTGTCCTGCGGGCCCCAGGGCTTCCTGCCCCAAGAGCGACGGACCCGCAACAGGGCACGAGGCAACTTCTTGGTTTCCCTGCCCCCCCTCACTCCCGGGCGTGGGGGGCTCCCCGCGTGTCCCTTTCCCGGAACACAGACCCTGCCTGTGTACTGGAGGGCACTGCGGGAGGGGCTCCTTCTCGCCCCTTTGTTTTAATGTTTAACTTATTTGCATATAAATGACAATGGCGGGGCTGGGACTCTCCTTCGCCTCGCCGCCAGGTTGGCTCCTTCCCCCTTCTTTAGTTGCAGCCAAATAAACGCTGGCTGGAGCAGAGACAGGATGTGTGCCCCTTTCCCCCTCCCCCCGCCCCGCATGTGATTTTACCGCAGGGAGGAGTTAGCACCGACTAGTTTTCCTGGGATGGTGGTGACAAGTGTAAAGGGGGTGGGGGGAGAGATCCTGCCACCCATCCCTGTGCGGTTATATCCCAGGGTGGAGTAAAAGCCACCTTTATTTGTTTGTTTTGGAGAGGGGTGGTGGGTAATAGTGACAAGGGGGGTGAGTTGGGTCCCCAAGTCTCTTCCCCCTTTCCCTAGCGTTCTCCAATTGTACCCTGTGCAGGAATTAAGCTCCCTCTCTTTCCTGGGGTGTGATGTTCATGAGTGTGGGACCCATTGCTGTTGGAGGTGCCCCAGTTGGAGTGTAGGGTGGCATGTTGCTGGGGGATGGTCCCTAAGAAGTTAGCTGTGCAGACAGTGGAATAAGTAGCTTATCTTTCATGCCTGTCCTATGGCCTTGCTCACTGTTTAAATAAAAAACATTTTTCTTTTCTTGTGCCTGCTCTTTCCTCTGCTGGCCTTTCTAGACACCGCACCAGGCTGCAGGTCAGCCTTTTAAATTCACTATTCCAGAGTCTCTGGATCGGATCAAAGAGGAGTTTCAGTTCCTCCAAGCTCAGTATCACAGGTGGGTGCAGCATGCTCTGTTCATAACCAATTCTTCCTGTACCATAGGCCTCAGGCACATACTGCTTTTGAGGATTCAGGCTGGTGCACAACATGTTGTTCAGTGGGGTGTGTTTCTTTTTTCTTGTCTCCACTTTCGCTGGTGGGAGAAGCTGTGTTTTATATCAGCGTCCAGATGGTGGCGTGGGGAGTCACAGTTAAACCCTGTCATTCACTCCTTTTCTTTCTTTGCCATTGTTTTCACAGCCTGTTTTGCTGCTGTTCAGATGAACTTTTTTCTGTGTGTTTTTAGAGCTTCACAATAAGTGTCAATATTTGCTCTTGGGAATTTTGTAACTGGCTGTGTTCAGAACAGCAGGTCAATGGGTGCCTTTGTCCTCATGTTCCCGCATTCCAGTACCAAGGCACTGTTGAAATAAGCTTTTAATAAGAGCTAGAAGTTCAGTAGGAAGCAGTGGAGTCTAGTGGTGAAAATGAGAGTGACTGAGTTTAGGACCAGTAGATTCTAAGCCCAGCTTGGTCACTTAATATTCTGTTTGTGACCATCTGTAAAATATTCAGGGTGGGGGTGTGAAATTTAACTCTTTGGTAGGATCCTTAAATGAAAAACCTCCATAAGTGCAAAGTATTCTGAGAGACTATCCACCCTAACTCCATAGTAGAAAATGTTATGGTTAGTTATCATGTAGTGTATGTTTGCACTTTTTTGTTTACAATGTTAATGCAAAAATATAAAAATGAAAATAAGCAGTATTTAAAGAGCAAATAAGGATTTTAAAAAAGCATACAAGGATTTGTGTGCTACCAGAGATAAGTGAATTTCATTGCTTTGGTAGATTTGAGTTATGGTTGCTATGCCATCATCGAAGCTGGCAACTGTGTTGCTAGTCCTTGTGCTTATTGCTGAGGTCTCTGCGGATATCAAGGGTATATTTTCCCCTCATTGCATAGACAGTACTTTTGGCATTAACAGGAAACGTGTCCCTTGGTGTGTAGCTGTACCCTATGACTGAGCAGAGATGAATAGAAGGCTTTATGTACAAATTTTCTTCTTTTTGAAGTTTGGATTAGGCCTTCATGATGATGATGTATATAGCGTTTATACAGAAGTTTATCAAGGCCTCTGGGGCCTATTTTTGATAGCTCTTGTATTTAAAAATTGCAAAACTTAAACTGTATACGGTTACATATAAAAAAGGTGAGCATGCACACCAATCACTTTGATTGCTTACTATTTTCTTTAATTAAAAAAAAGTCAGTTACCAGTCCACATGACAAAGAAATGGTATTTAATATTTTGTTTTAATTGGAGATATTGGAGTAGTAAGGGTATAGGTTTATTGACACTACAGTTCCTTCACTTTATTTTTGTTCTCATAAGTATATAAAAAGAAAAGGCATATCAAATTTTAAATACTGCTCAAAGGCTATATCTCTTCAAGACTTTGACAAGATAGCTAAGTACAAAATCAGGAGACTTTTTGGAGTAAAGGTTTAGAACTGAAACGCAGGTGAGTCTTCTACTGTGGTTACCTTGTTGAACTCTAGTACACTAATTCCTAGTCACCTAGACAGATTTTTTTTCTTCACATTTAAACTGTAGTGAATTCAGGCAGTACCATAGTCTGGGGGTTGTGACAATTTTTGGTAATCACTCTAAGCATAGTGTTTTGATATTATAGCCTTATTTAGTATGTATTTAAAATGAGTCTGATCTGATTTGATGGATTCTATGTACTCTTTATATTCATTTTCAGTTTTTCTGTTATGATACCAGGCTAAAGTTTGTTATTTATATTGAAGGGAAAAGACTAATAAGCTATCAGAGTGCAAATAGGGAAGGTAGATGTTAAAACAAGTGTCATAACATTTACATTAAAGTGTCTGTTTTATTTTTGTAGCCTTAAATTGGAATGTGAGAAACTGGCAAGTGAAAAGACAGAAATGCAGAGGCACTATGTGATGGTAAGTATAAAATATTTGTTTTTCCCTTTGGTTCATTACAGAAAATATTTTCTAATACTTTACTATTGTATGCTGGTTTTAAATTGTACTTTCCTTTATTTGCAGTATTATGAAATGTCCTATGGATTAAACATTGAAATGCATAAACAGGTAAGATGTTCATCTAAGTTCATAACTACTAAATTTATAGTCCAACTTATAATGTGTTTAGGGTACTAAAACACAGCTTTTGGATTTATATTTGAATTAGTGCAGTATGTCAGAAAGAGTGGATTGATTCATAGTTGTGACTAGTAAACATTGTTCACCTATCTAATATAAAATGATGGGACAAATAAGATCTGCAGAACAGAATGGTGGTGTTGGTGCTGGTTCTGAAAGATGTCCACAAATATATAAGAAATGGCTTGCCTCTGTAAACAAAGACACTTGAGTTAAATGGTTTATAAGGAAATAGATTTCTTTGAGGAAATTCCTAGTTGGTACAGCCCTAGATCTGTCTAATCAGTCTCTTATGCGTCTGCAGAATATGTTGATAGTTGCTGAAAACTTAGCAATTTCAAAGTATGAAAAGATTAGTGACTTGGAAAATTCTTATGACTGAGTTTGCAAGTTCCCATAAAATTCACACTTATGGCCACTATAATGGTGAATAAAAAGAGGTATTGAACTGGAACAAGGCACTAAGGACCTCATAAGAGAAGAAAAGCTAAATGATTGCTCAGCCCAGAGGACCCTCAATTGAGTACTCATTGTCTGCCAAAGAAAGCATTAATGGCAGGGTGTAAGTATTCTGTAGATATGCTGACATTCACTTTTTCATCAAGATGCTGGTACAATAAGTCTTTCAGAAATCGATGGCCTCTTAAAAAAATTATCATTAGATGAAGTTGCACAGTTGGACACATTTCAAAGTGCAACAATACAATTCTTTCTTGATGTATATGTGCTATTTCATCTAAAACTCTTGTTTCATTAAATTAAAGAGCACGGCTGACCGGCTAGGGCACAGCGAAGAAATTGATTAGTTCAGGTTTCAGATCTTCAGTACATTCAAAGACTTTCATTAAGCAAGTATATTTCAGAGCTGAATTCTGTTTTTGTAACTCTGAACTCTTTGATATTTTTTTCTTAAAATTTATTGTGCCCTGAAAAATATCAAATTTGGTAATGTGGAGTTAGATGTGTAGCTTTACATGCTCCGTTGGAGATGCATTTCTTTAAATTTGAAGTATTAACTAATACAGAAATATGACAACTTTGTTTTGAGGTAACAATGAATTTTGTAGGGAGGAGATTTGGGCTACCATTTGTGACGCTCAGATTAGATTTAGAGCTGAATTTTTTTTTTTCTTTTGCAACTTAAATTTGGAACATTGTCAGCTTTTACTTCAGGCAACTGTTTTGGGCTCAGTGGTAAAAACTCTTTTCTTCAAATAACTTAATGGTGTATTGTGACTTGGTGATAAGTTATGATAAAATTAATATCTAAATGCAAACCTCTTCTGGTATAAGTATTACATAAACTTATAATAGGATCAAAAGTGTAGATGGGTTTAAAATAATGGAACAGTTGATGAGAAAATGCATTTAGTGTATAAATGCACTAAAAATGTTAACCTTTGGTGTTACTCTAAAGTTAAGTCCACAAAATCAAGGAACCTCAGAGCTCATATTTTCACATTGACCATAGCTTCTGTGTATTGCCAGGCTTTAATGATTATATATAAATGGTGTGTAATATTTATTTGCTGTGGTGATATAATGTAGAAACTTTTAAAATAAATGAAAGAATGCATTATAACCTGCGACGGTCTAGCTGGGAAAGGCAGTATGTTTGTGTGTGCCTAATATTGTGATTTTTAATGTCTGTGTTTTGTTTAATCATAATCCTAAGGGATGAAAGAACAAACTTCTGGGGAAGTGCATGGCGATCCAAAAAATGAAAGTTGACAAGAAAATAAGCTGCTTTAGTGTTAGTGGGTTTTCATGTCTTCCATGTAACATCTTCCACTTGAGTGCAGAGTCTTTAAAACCTCAAATTCAGATCTAAACTACAGAGGTGCAAAATAGCACTGTTACAGTTCAGTATAAATTGTCTTTAAATTGAAAAACATCCTTCTAAATTTCAAATCCTATGAAGGCATTTGGTAGATAATAATCATAATTCTTATTAAAACTGGTGACGTCTAGTCCTTAGGGTGTAGCCAGCCTCAAATTGATGCTTTTTGCTGGCCGATCACCAGCATGGCCTAAGTGCTCATTATGTTGTAGAGAGGGCCTTTGGAGCTCTCATTACGTTTGACAGGAATTCTCTCTAGGGGAAAACTGGGCATTAGCTAGACTCCTGACAGGCTGAAATTATTCCTGCTTTATGGCTTATAACCAAATGCTAGCAAGGCATCATCAGGGGACACAAGAAATTGTCATTTCTGACAACATCTTTGTTACAGAAAAATGCAGTGATGGGGAAACTTTCCTCTGAACAAGCATTAGTGTTCTGAAGGCTTGTCTCCTGTGTAGATGTTACCCTTGCTCTGTGTGAAGCCCTTCAGAGTTGTTGGTCTGATGAATTTTTTTTTTTTATACTACTTCAGTGACTCTTCACACAGTGAAGTGCTGCAGCAGTGTTAAAATAAAAGTGTCACCCAAATAAAAAGTGATGTAATTATAGCTTGCCTTCTCATGTCAAAGCTGGTTTGTTGCACAGATATTATGTGTTAATGTTGTGTCAACAGTTCCATTATCCTTTAATTCAGGAGTTTATAACAAATTGGGTGGAATAAATTCACAAAGGCTTGAATGTTATAAACAGCCCTTTAAAAAAGTAAATATGCCATTCTAAAATGTACTACATTAACCTAAGCATTCTTTTAGAAAGTGATGCACTGAGGTCAGGAAATGGCAAAGTTAAGGCTGTGGAGGCAACCTTAACTCTGCCCCTTGTGCGTATGTATTACAGTAGTTTTTAATTACATATGCCTCTCCCAGGACTTCTGCCTTATTTTAACCCAGGAACATGGACAGTGCTTAGTGAACAAAGTGTCTGTTAAATATATTTATCCTCACTGGTCAGTTTGTAGCTTCCTTTCTTGTTTTTGTCATGAACTAGCTTTGGTATACCTAAATCAGACTCCTTATATTGTTTAATATAGGTTTTTATGGTGTTTTACAGGTATCCACATTAAAATAAATAGAAATGAAACACAAAACAAAACTTAATAAACCCAAACAAAAAAAACCTATAGAATTGTTCTCAACTAGTGTTTGGATGTGTGTAGCAGAGGTGAGATGATGTTCAGGATATATTGACTTGACTTGCATGTAGATCTTATACGCATTAGGACATTACATTCTAATAACTGGGGAGCATTTTATAGGTTTTTAAATGTTAACTTTCATTCTCAATCCTTTTCTACTGTAACATCCATGGCCAGCAATGGACACACTGCAGCTGCTGGCGCCGAGGCATACTGTCTGTCGGGTGTTAATAGCCATATTATACTCGAAGGGCTGCTGTCATCGGGTATTAGAGCAATGTCTCTTTATTTTCATCAGCCATGTCTGTCGTCTTCTGGAGTAAGTCAGGAGATAAAGCTTCCTGTGTGTTTAATGTCCAAATTGTTTAGGTGTAAGATTAGCTTTTGTTCGGTGGCAGGCAGCCAAAGAGAGAGCCATCACTGTTGAACCCACTGACAAAGTTTATATAAACTACTACAGCGTGTGGTGAGTTTCTGCTGTCCTAAAATTGACAGGTGGGTCTCTGAGTCTTTGCGTGGATAGTTATGATCTTTGACCTGCCTTCAGGCAAATGTGTCTTTCCACTTTTTTTTGGTTTATTGCCTTTCTTCTTGCAAAATAATAACCCTTAACTGCTTATAGTAGTACAAGAGTTAAATGTCCTCTTAGTTCACTCTGTCATGTGAAATCACTTTAAACAGTATTCAAGAGCCAAGTCTCTTACTATCATGATCTCCAGGAGCGGTTAAATAGAGGGGAATTAAGAGGCTTTCTTTGCTCTCTGCAGATCTTTAATAGGATGGTGGTATTGTTGAAAGGGATTTAAAGATGATTTTTTTTTGTCTTAATTGCATTTTAGTTATTGGAGTCAATTTTATGATTTTTTTTTTTCCTAAAGATTTTGATGCTGTGTAATTAAGTGGCTTTGTTAACTTTTGGAAACTTAAGATACATAGAATGCCTTTGTGTCTTAAAGGAAACATAAAGATGGGATCATAATGACTTTCTTCCCCTCAAAATGTCATATTTACTTTACAAATGTGATTAATATATAAAAGAACCATCAGCATTTCTAAATGAGCGCAGTCATCTCACTTTATACCCAATCTGAGCTCTGGGTACGAGAAAGCTGAGAGGATTGGTAATGAGACAGAAGATTTCACCTCTTGGTCATTGGCTTGCCCAGGTCAATGATGTAGTTACTACTATCTGTCAGTTATTCAGTGGACTATGCTAAATGAGCTGGTAGTCTTCATCCATTTCTAAGTAGGTAGCTTGCCACTTTGTCAGACACCATTACTGCAGTCCTTTTAACTAGTCTCAGCAGTTGGACCTAATTTAAACACAAGTTAAACAAATGGGTACTTTATTATTCTTTAAATTATTTTAGCACCAAGGAACCATGGACCAGGACCCCATGGCACTTGGCGTTGTACAAACACAGAACAAACAGATGGTCCCTGTCTTAGAGAGACAACACAGGCGCAGCCTGGGGGAATTGGAATAATGCACGGAGTTGACAATGTGATGGTGGCAAGCTTTCCAGGGTGCTTGTCTCCCTTAGCAGTGCATTTGGAAGCAGAAGAAACTGAAAATTGTTTTGTTTTCAAGTTGGGATCCCTTTAAAAAATGAGCCATTTGGTTTTCAATCATAAGTGTGCTGTAACTTTAATTTTTATAGTTGATAATTCAGGGGCAAAATTGATTTAGACAACATTTTAAGAATTCAGCAGTCCATCTGTTAGTAAAAGGGAACTTTTATTTTTTTTAAAAAGAACACATGAGCAAACTTCAAGAAAATGCAGCAAGCCTTCATCAGTTTCCTTAGGTTTGCAAGGAAACTGGTGTTGATAACTAAATTGTAAAACAAAATTCTTATGAGAGAGATATCTGTGTTATATCCTGGAATG